GAGAGAGAGAGAGAGAGAGAGAGAGAGAGAGAGAGAGAGAGAAATTTGTACGACTTCGAATAAGCTACAAAGTGCATACAAAAATTTTTTTTATACTCGTTACTCTTTCGAGTTATGTAGGTTAACATAGTTTTTTTAAATGGATACCTATAATTTTTTTCTATATTCGTATAGTAGGGAGCATTTGCAATCAAAATCATATCTATTAAAAAATTGCTGCCATGCATTGTTTACGAGATAATCGACATCTTAGGTATTGAATTTTAAGAAATTGATTTTCTATATCACAATTTGAAAAACAAGATTCAAACTAATATTTTGAAGTCGGTTATGTCGAATAGGATCACTGACCTTCAACTCAAAATACGCGACTGCTTGTTTTGTAAATAAAGTATTTGTATAACATGGAGTATAAAATTCAGTGCAGTATTTGTTAGTCAGTCAGTCGTCTTTTCAATGAATATATATCATTGTAATCTACAATAGTAGATTACAACAATAACGATGTTTAGTATTAGTGTAAAGTGTGATATGCTCGAAATGTGGCATTTAAGTATGCGTAATGAAAATGAAGCTCAGCTACTCTATCTATAAAAGTATCCAGAACGAAGGATACCAAATGGTAGTACATTTCGGCCACTGGCTTCGAGATATTTATCGCAATAACATTGATTTTCTTAAAAAAATATTATGGTCTGACGAATCGTTCTATAAAAAAAACATTGTTTGTTTTTTTTTCAACCTCTCTTTGACATTTTAAACCCCGTTCAAAATTATTTAGAATCCAATTTACTACTTTGATACTTAGGATGTCGATTATCTCGTAAACAATGCATGGCAGCAATTTTTTAATAGATATGATTTTGATTGCAAATGCTCCCTACTATACGAATATGCAAAAAAATTATAGGTATCCATTTAAAAAAACTATGTTAACCTACTTAACTCGAAAAAGCAACGAGTATAAAAAAATTTTTGCATGCACTTGGTAGCTGATTCGAAGTCGTATAAATGTCTCTCTCTCTCGCTCTCTTATTAAACTTTCTTGTAACTTCAACCAGTTGCGAGATATTTGCTCCGATACTTATGGACGGACACCCTGTATAAATACTACCATGATCAAAAAATAACCGGAATTTATTCATAAAAAGAAAAGTACATGTTTATTCTTCAAAATTCAAGTTGTCCCCTTCAAAGTAGTCCCCATCGGCTGCGATGCACTTGTACCAGCGTTTGATCCACCCCTCGAAGCTTTTCTGGAAGTCGGTTTTTGGTATAGCCATTAAGGTAAATGTCCCAGTTTGCGACCATGACCCTGTTTGTGACCACTTTAAGACTTATATGTAATTAATCAGAAATTTCAAGTAATTTATCTCTGAAAACAATATTTATTACGTTTTTCGATTAATAATCCATCGTTTTGATATGTGATGTAGTGATATTTGGTAAACAGATAACTCATGAAAATGTGAAATAAGGTGCCCGTATCGTCATTAAGTGCAGATCGAGCACGTTGTTGTCGCCACGTTGGTAGACATGGCGTTTGTCGCGGCAAAGTCATAGCTGTGTCATATTGTCGTAGACAAACGTTCATAAACAGTTTTTGTGATAAAGTTTTAGTGAACAAGTGAATAAATATTGTGCTATGTGTGAATTCTGAAAAAGGTCGGTAATTTTGAGTATATAAGTGAATATGACAAATCGGTTCAATAAAATACGTATGTTTCTATCTGTGATTGTCTCAAGAGAACTAGCTATAACATTAAATTTCGTTGCTTTTTTCAAAAAGATAACAATTAATACTCATCTCCATATGTTTCTAAACACGTATGAGTTACATTTTGGACGAATAAACGGAAATATTCGATGTATGCTCGAAGGAAAATTTTGGTGGCAATGCTATCACTTTTGGCTAGGTCGCTTACAATGGACATCGTGTGTATTGCATCATGTGCGTCGGTCACTAAGTGATACATGGTGATACATTCGATCCAATGCACCAGTCACTAACCGTGG